TCTAATTGTTAAGACACCATTTCATGGCAAACCACTATTTAGCAACTACTGAATGCATTTCTCCTTTACTATGGCAGCACCTCAACAGAGGCAAACAATTCTATAAATTGTCTGTTTTGCAAGTTACCAAAGCATCTTCAGTTCAGGGTCCAAATCCATCTCCTATTGCAGTCAATATTGATTCCAATGGGAGTTGGATCAGGCCCTAAATAAATAAGGCCCTCACAAACTTGAATCTATTGGCACATTCCTAGCAAGAACCTTATTTAAAATCTAATTCTTACCCTATTTAAATATGGTTCTTGCTAGGAAAGGACTAAGTATTTTTAAAAGCAACTAACGCTCCCCTTGTAAAAAGCCCTACACATTTTCCAAATGATAACTTACAAGGGAAATTCTAACTTAAGGTAGACATGCAAATGATTAACAATTTTAATCTCCATTTAAGTGCTCTTAGGGTAAGGAAAATAAATTTTTACTGTAGTGTAAACTTTCAGTTTTTGATGGAAATTCAGATGCAAGAAAACGTTTTGTGAGCCCCCGTGAAATAGCTCTGTGACAATAGGACAACAGACCTTGTCTCAGAAGGGAAAAGCCTTATATTTTAAGAGAATCATTTGCATTTCTAGCAGAAAATTTGGAAGAAGGAAGAAAAAAATTTCTACAAAATGAAAGCAACTCATTCAAACTTGTAGCAAAAATAACGCTTTGTGGGGAGAAACACTCACCTACTAACCTTTGTAATAGTACTGGAGGATGACTGCAGCATCAAACATTGTAAACAAAACTATTTCTTAACAGTCATATAACCTTCTGCTTGTAAACAGGTACTAAGTTGAAACTGAACTAGCTAACTAAACATTGTGTTGTAGTGTACATATATTTGATAGAGCAAAGTTCTTTGGCAAAATATTTGAAGAGTTGTGTAATTTCACTATTTAAAAATCCTCCCAAAACCTAAATGGATGTTTAAGCTTCCATCCCACTTGGAATGTACTATTTCACTATATGGAGAAGATGGTTAGTTTCAACATTGGCCTGAAACATCTATTTTACCTGTGCAAAACGAAGACCTTGCAAAACATGTACAGTAAATGCAATAAAATTTTAAGTACCCAGCATCAACTATATAGTAAGGGGACTCTAAAGGCTGAACAAAGTTACACTTCAAAATATCCCTTTTCATTAGTTGCTTAGGACAAGGCAATTCCACTGTGAAGATGGAAAGGAAGTGATGTGTTTTATTTATCAATTTCTGCAGCATGGGCTAGATTAAAAGTGGCAATTTCCTCTTGAGACATCTAAAAACCCAGAATCAGGCCCCACGGGTTTCATAAAACTCCCACTCAGCTGCCCCTGGTTGCTGTAGGCACCTAAACTTGCTCAGCACCTAAGTTTTTGCAGTAAAAATTCTCTAGGCACCTATGTTTTTGCCACTGAGCATGCGCACTGCAGACCCACGCCAGGCATCTGGCTGCCTAAGCCCTAGAGCGATTCACCAACTGCAGGAAGATAGGCGTTCCTCCACCTAACTTGTCTGCAGGGCCCAATCTGATGCATTCAGAGCTTGTGTACTGGCTGAAGCCCCTATAGGTGATCTTACATAAATCCCCACTGCACGTGAGGGGGAGAAGTGATTTGAGCAGGGATTTGCGACCTCTCAAGTGAGTGCCCTAACCACTGGGCAATGGGACATTCTGATATGGGACTCTCAGAGGCTACGTCTATGCTTTGAGCTAGGGGTGCGATTCCCAGCTCCAGTGGACATACTTGTGTCAGCTCTCATCAAGCTAGTGTGCTAAAGATAGCGTAGCCAGGGTAGCATGGAAAGCAGAGAGTAGAGACATGGGCTAACAGCCCTGAGTACAAAGCTGCCAGACCCTGTGGATAAGTACTTGGGGCACCTAGCCAGTGCCAACACTCACTGCTGTCCATGCGACCATGACTACACTACCTCACGTACTAGGTGCCTCAGTCTTTCCTGTTGAAACTGTTCCACTCTGGATAATTTAAAAAATTATCATGGGGGCAGGGGAAAGAACGAGTGAGCATGGGAATGACTGTAGCCTGGTAGTTAAAGCACTCACTTGGGAGGTGGAAAACCCAGGATCGAATCCCCTGCTCCAATGACTTTTAAAAATTATTTATCCAAAGTGGAACCACTTCAATAGGAGACTTTGATGGTGCCCCCACATCAGACTATCCCATAGCCCAGTGGTTAGGGCACTCACATGAGAAGTGTCAGAGCCCAGTTCAAGTCCCTTCTCCCCCTCATTTGCAAGGGGGATTTGAAGCAAGGGGTCTCCCACATCACAGGTGAGTACCCAAACCGCTAGGCTAAAAGAAGGGACATCATTTGCTATGGGGCAAGGGGAGCCGTTCCCTCCCAACCCCGAGATCTTGCAGAATGCAATATAATCACACAACCTTCTATACGTTAAACAGTCTCCCCCTCCCCCAATTTTTTCTGAAATGACACCCCTGGCTAAAAGTTATGAGAGAGGTCCTTTTCCTCCTCCTTTCTCCCCCATCTTCTTGCTAAACAGGCATCTAGCACCAAGAGAGGGTTTGCAATGGAGAATCCCAAGCAGAGGGAAGCACCTATCCCAGAGTTCAGGCATCTATCTCAGAGGGGCAGGGGTTAGTAAACACCTCTCAGTTTGGCATTTCCCATTGGCTAGTTTAAGCAACGGCCACCTAGAATGCACAAAGCAGTGTTTATGTCAGTAACAATGCCCAAAGGGGCAGGGCTTTGGAGCGGAGCCCGGAGCTGGAGCATAGAGCAGCTCCAGAGCAGTGGAGCTGCAGGTTTTTGCCTGGAGCTGGAGCGGAGCCGGAGCACCGTTCCAAAGCCCTACAAAGGGGTCTTCCATCTCAGTAAGCAATACTGGCCATCTTGAGAGTAATGTTCAAGAGGCAGTGACTAAATTATCCAATAATACTTGTTTGAAGCAATCAAATTAAATGGGTAGAAGTCATATTTTCTGTTATAAGCAGCACATTTTTGCTTTGGGGGGAATCTGCTCAAAAGACTATTGAACAAATTAAGTGGAAGGCACTATACTTTGGCTAATATAAATGTCATTATGTAAGTAAGAGCTGTATATTAAACTTAAAAAGGATTCACAAAAGCCAGCCTAAACTAGCTAATGGGAAATGCCAAACTGAGAGGTGTGTACTAACTCCTCCCCCTCTGAGATAGACGCCTGAACTCTGGGATAGGTGCTTCCCTCTGCTTGGATTCTCCACTGCAAACTCTCTCTTGGTGATTAAAAAGGATTTTTGTTTGGTTTTATTTTTATCATGCAAGAAGAAAGGAAATCCAATATGTCAGAAGGAAAGCAGAAGCAAGTGTTTAAATGAAACTATCCTTGCATTTCCTAGCAGCAAATCTTCTGAACAGAACGCAGAGTGAATGAACGGTATAGAGAAGTTTTAAAGAGTGATTGTAGCTCCCTTGCATTTGTAGAAAACCTTCTGATAGACAGTTGTTACTCTCTAAAGGCAATTTAATTCTGTTATTAAGGTGCAGGCAGCTTCAGAAGACATTCCCTTTCGGTTCTCCAGTTGGCAAGTATTGTAACTTAAATCCCATACCACACAGAAGCAGCATCAGTGAGAACCCAGGTACAAGAGGGAGGCAGTACCAAGTTAACATTGGAAATAAGTTAGGAAAATGTTCAGGAACTAACATTTTACAGTAGTAGACAAAGGAGATTAAATTTTCTAAAGCAACTACTGATTCTGAATGCCCACGCTTGAGACACTTTTCAGAGCCTCCCCATCTACACTAATCCACCCTCTGGAAAAAAAATCTGCCCCCTTTAAGATGTTTCAAGTTGGGCACCTCAAAAAAGTACCCAGAAGCCACTAGTTACATTTTAAAACTTACATCCATAGTATTTTAGATGCAACAAGACAGTTTACAGGTATGTTAAACTAAAATTAGTGCTTGAAGTGTAGCGTTTGGAAAGTTTTTTTATGGACTTTAAGTAGTTTGACATTTTAAGTCTGTCCCAATTTCAACCCTGTTTCTTACCAAATGTCATTCGGCCACTAATGATCTCTGGAGATTTCTTCATGTCATTAATAGCAGCAATAGGGAGTCCCCAGTTGGCTACCGGTCCCCAAAAGTGCTGTAAATAAAGTGGAAGGAAGCAAAGAGTTTATCCTTTAGTTTTGAAAGATTTCATTTTTTTTCTGCTATCATCGACATGTTATTCTTACATGTTTTTAAGAGAGGAAGTTCTGGAAGAGTAGTGTGGTAGAGCTTCCTTTCAAGTTAGAATAGAGACAGCTTTCAAGCACACTTAAGTGGAAGAAAAAACAAAACCACCTCTTGTCAAATAAGGGTCTAATCCTCTCCATTGCAGGAAAAAATCCTCCCCACTTTCCCAAGCCCATGTAGATGGGTTTGGCATAGTTTGTCCCATGGGGAACAAGGACAGAACACACCATTCTTCCCAGGCTGTCAAGTGGCAACAGAACCCACTCTGTGGTCACTACTGTAACCTCATGTTTATGCTAAAGTCTATAGCCAACCTAGGCAAACAAAAAGTGCATCTTGTTCACACAAGAAAATTCTTCAAACCATTATTCAATATAAAAGGCAGGGAAAAAAACCCTCAGTGACTAACTTAAGGGGGCATTCCAGCATTATGCTGGAGGCTAGATTGCTCCCAACAAGCAGGTCTGAGCTTCGGGCAATCATGCCACATTGTGGAAGCTGTTGGGCAATAACCACCTTTCATTTAGGTAAATGAGAACAGTTAAATGCACTTTTGTTTAGTGGTAGCTGAAACAATGGAAAACCACTGCCCAAAGACTAGACAGCATACAAGTCTGGGCAGTGTCTGAGCCATGCAGTTCAAGGAGTTTCTGGGGGTCTGATAAGTCAAACCCTTATCCCTGCATTTATTTCCAACTGTGTATCCATGCATGTGCATGAGAGAAGAAAGAAGAAACACCACAGGAACAGAGAAAAGGCAGCAAAAAAACCAGATAAGAACTCAGAGCATGATCTTGAGAAATAGGTAAGAGAGAAAGCTTTGGTGCAGTGTGCTGGCTGAAAGAGGCTTGGAACTGTGTCCAGGAAAACAGGATTTTAGGTACATTCTATATAAATAAAATATGACTGCATCAAATAAATACCTACCAGGAATTTCTCCTCCTAATAAAAACCACAAACACAAGACCAGCAAGTTGGCTAACTGCTAAGGCCAAAAGGAGTAAGATTAGGATACCTATTTGCAAGTGAAAGCTGGAATTCTTTGCAGCCAATTAAACACCACTTTTGCATCTATTTTAAGATTAACATTACACATATTCCAGTGATTCAGAACAAGGAAGTATATGGGGGAGAGAAGCAGGGGGGAAAATGGGTTTCTTCACTTGTAATTTTAGTTCTCATGCAGAGGGCCATCCAATGGTCTGGACAGGAGCTTGTGGATTTTACCTGTGCACTAGAATAGAGACAGCTTTGCTTCCATCTCCAACTCAAAGGAAGGAAGATAAAATCTAAACTGCCTCTACTGTGGTGGAATAAGTAGATCTAACTCATTAGCAGTATTCAGACTAGTGGATGCCCACGTATGAGAAAAGAGTTAGAAAGCTTACAAAAAACAACTAAAATAATCCCCGTGATCAGTTTTGCTGAGTTACGTGCTGTTTTTTAGCAAGGTTTGCAGTTTTACATTACTACAGTGAGACATGACCTCATGTGTTTAAGGTCGCAAGGCTAACCACCACAAAGTAACACTGCCAAAAGTGACTTAAGTGCCTGACAATGGGACTTGGACGCTTCTGAAAATTTTATCCGAACAGTTTAGTTTAAAAGTTTAAATAGCGTGACACTATTTACTTGTGAAGGACAGTACAAGACTAGAGCAGTTATAAAGACTTCCATTTCTACTACTGAAAATGTGGAAGAAATGAAAGTTGACAGGGAAAGAAAATGCATGAGGAATCACTAATTAAAATCCAACCAATCCATTACTACTCACAAACAAGAACATTCTGAGTTATGGTATTTCATTTGTATATTAATGGCAATGTCTAGGTGAAGGCATATGTAGTATAGTGACACCTACTACTTACTCTGAGACACCAATATAAGTTGATATATGCTGTAATAGCTAGAATCACAGCAGCAGAAATTCAGCAACAGTGATCTGTTATTGTGGGGGGGGAGGGGGAGAAGCTTGTATATAACCAAGTTATTTTAATAGTTTCAATGTTCTGTTTAAAACTACAGCTCTGTGTGACTAGAGGTACATTCCAGTCCACTTCCTAACTAAGTTTATGTTGCTAATAGAACAAGAGTACTAGTGGCACCTTAGAGACTAACAAATTTATTAGAGCATAAGCTTTCGTGGGCTACTCTCTAAGGTGCCACCAGTACTCTTGTTCTTTTTGCGGATACAGACTAACACGGCTGCTACTCTGAAACCTGTTATGTTGCTAATGCATCACTTTAAGCAAATTCTGAGTGTAATCGCAATTGCACATACTGTATATTGTCACTAATACTGTTTTAAGAACCTCTACAGTTTTCTTTGGATTCATTTAAAATAGTGGAATTTAGTGCTTGAGAACTGACACAATGATAGCACTGGAAAGTGGCTGTCCATCTACCCTTAAAACAGTTTTAGCCTTAGGAGACTTAATGCTAGCTTCTTGTTCTGGAGGGTAGTTCATGTTCATTCAGCAATTGATTCCTTATTAGACTGCCTACAAAAGGTACCAAGTCCAATGATTACTGTGATATGGGGGTGTTCATTAGAAAAAAGGTCAGAGTGCACTCAACTTGTTTCACATAAATCACTAATCTGCCATCAAATGGTAACTTTCAATCACTACTGATCTGGACCACATTTGAACTGGAGACCAAGAAGTAAAAGGCTCCACAATCCCCTTTCTAATCCTCTCAGCGATTCAGTCCGACTCCCTCAGAAGTTTTATGTTTTTCATCTAAAAAGTAAGAGGATTCAATAGATATACAATAAAGTGAAACTTCACATGTACAGGCTTTCTTCAGTCTACACGGGAAGTAGACTAGAATAGCCTTCTATGTCAGTATGTATTCAGCCATAGTACAGAACTAAGTACACTGAATCCTACAATATAGTGAGTCATGATTTCCAGATTCAGTAATGAAGATAACTGGACCATCAGAGAAAGTCTAGAGTGAAAGCTGTGGAACTGTGCTGTTTACTGTCTGAAGTAAACATGGTTAAAAATAAAACATTCAATTCATCTAGCAACAACACATGACTGTGCAGTAGTCAGAGATGGAGCTCTAAATCAATCCCATGCCCCTAGCAAACAGTGACAGAGAGCTGTGAAGGAAACCCATATCTTTCTGAAGTGATTCCTTAGCTGCTTTAGTCGTCCTTACATGAGGGAATTGTTACCCTGATACACATGGGAGTACAGAGGTGAGGAAAATTTTTACTAACTCACCAGTCCTGAAGGTTAGCAAAGCACCTCCTTAGATAGAGTCAGGTCAGTTCACAACAATGCTAGTACAGAAAGATTACAAACAGCTGAAACGAAGTAGAAAAAGCTTTTTCTTACCGTACTATGTTGTCAGTGTTCATTATGGTTCACCATTCAGACAATGCATGAAAGAGGAGCAGAGAAGAGAGTTAGTTTCCTTCAAATTACTGATCTTGAATGGAAAAGTGGAAGACATAAGTAATGCTGCAGCAATTTTTCTCAATTAAGTTATTGTACTAAAACTGAAAATATCTAACAAGTGTCTTGATAGAATAAAAATGTTACCCTCTAAATAGTCTTTTCACTCATCTAATGTACTAGGGTGAGATCCTGGTCCCACTGTGGTAAGTGGGAGTTTTGCTATGGACTTCAATGGATTTCACCTCTAGTTTTTTAAGATCAAGAGGGTAGCAAAAGCCTGAGCTCTAAAAGCAATGTGGCTGGCTGCCTCTTCCATCTAACTACAAACTAAGAAAAAATATAATGAAGTGTAGGGTTTTATTCCTGGTGGATTCAAATAAGCAGTAATTAATGTAAATCATAAAAGAAGTTGCATTTGCTTTTGATAAAGAAATCAAGAATCAAATCAGGGCCGGCTCTGGTTTTTTTGCCGCCCCAGGCAAAAAAGCCTCCGGCCGGAGCCGGAAGGGGGGGGGGGCGGCCGGAGCCCCAGGGGGAGGGCGGCGAGCCCCGGTTGGGGCTCGGCTCTTCCCCCCGCCCCCCAGCGGCCAGAGCGCCGGGGGCAGGGCGGCGATCCCCGGCGGGGGCTAGGCTCTCCCCCCGGTGGCCGGGGGAAGGGCGCGGGGGGAGGGCGGCGAGCCCGGCTGTGGCCCCGCTCTCCCCGGCGGCCGGAGCGCCGCGCCGCGCCGCCCCCCTCCAGGTGCCGCCCCAAGCACCAGCTTGGGTGCCTGGTGCCTGGAGCCGGCCCTGATCAAATTGACCCTCTAGTTCAGGGAAAGTTGCCAATGAGGATTTCACTGTTACAATGCTTAGGAGACCCAACCTTAAAAACATAGTTATATTGTACATAATCTCTATGTTGACAAACTTCAATGGCTTGACACACTAAACACTTAATTGAAGGCTATTACACTCAGGTACTACAGTATGATATGGTTGGGTCAATGCTAGCTGCTGGCACATATTTGGGACTGTCTGCTGCTACATGATTCAGGATGAACATAAAAGGGCAAAACCCAACATGCATTAGAAACTGCCATCCATTGTCTTGAGATGCACAAATTTTACCCTAATCAATTTCACAATTCTGTACTCTTACATTAGAGTCTGTAAGAAGTTTCTGAAGACACTACACTTATTAGTTTGAGACACTGTCTAAATGCAATAGCTTAGCACAGGTATGTGCATGACCAATATGTACCCCTGCATATTGAAATTGTCAGCCTCTACTTTTAAATGCATATTCAGTATAATCGCCAGAGGAATGTTTTCACCATTATTTCTAGAGTTCTTCCATTTTGTAACCATGCTCACTGGACGATTCAACATGCTGCAAGTGCACTCCTGTGACTATGCCCCACAGTAACTTATTATTGGGCTGCTGAGTATACGAGGTTTTTTAAAATATGACATGAGAGAATGCTTCATAAACCACTTAGACTTTTTTAGTAAGCTGCATTTTAGTACATATGATACAAATTTGTTAGCTTTATGACTGTGTAGCTTATGTGTTTTCCCCACTGGTCTGCATAATCAACAGTCATTGAGCCAATCTCCACCTGACTCCACTGAAGAGCAGTTACATCAGGATGAATCTAGTCCATTTTTTGACAGTTGCAGTGATGGCAGTAATTGCCATTTTCATGAAAACACAATTACAATGTATGTTTAGCTATATTTGTGGAAACATTGCTAATCAAGCCAGTTAAAAGAACTCTCAGACTTTAAGTCTATATTTTAATGGGAGTTTAATGCCAATTAAATCCAGTTTGAAACAGGGTCTAAAATACTGTTATTTTAACAGTGGAACTCACAACCTGTCCAGATGGGGGAGATTCTTTCCCCCCAACCAAATCATTGTTGTTCATGTGCCCTTGGGACAGCTACCACTGTGGGAGGAATATGAAAAACCAAGGTTATACAAACTCTTCCTTCAAAAGCAAGCACATATTTAGCCCAGTGCTTTGCAGCCAAGAACAGATCAGTTTCACGAACAGATGTGGTAATCTCTCCATTCTTAGATGTAATTAGACTGCAGTATATTCTTGTTCCTTAAGTATAATGGTTATATCCCCAGTTAGCCATCTCCACAAAGGTAAGTGCAACCCCTCAAAAGCAAAGCCCCTCTTCTCCTGAGAGAGCACTATATGGTTAGTCACGACAGGTCAGGCTTAGGGCTTGTCTACACTGGCAATTTACAGCGCTGCAACTTTCTCACTCAGAGATGTGAAAAAAACACCCCCCTGAGTGCCACAAGTTTCAGAGCTGTGAAGTGCCAGTGTAGGCCATGCTCCCAGCACTGGTAGCTATGCCCCTCATGGAGGTGTTTAAAAAAAGTGCTGGGAGAGCTTTCTCCCAGCACTCTGCCGCGACCATAAAAGCCATGTTAAAGCGCTGCCAGAGCAGCGCTTTAGTGTTGCCAGTGTAGACTAGCCCTTAAATTCCTAGCTGCTCCTTTTAGGGATTTCTAAGGGCTTATCTACCTGAACAATTAGAGTATGGCAAGCTGGGGTGTCACTCTACCTTGCACCAGTGGCCCATGATTTAAATGTCCTGCTGATGTGCATTAACAGTTTGTTAAGATGCTCTCAGCTAGTCCCATTTCAAAGGGGACTAGCTCAAAGTGCTCAGTAAACACACATCAGCAGGACAGTTAAATCACGGGCCACTGGTGCAAGGTAGAGTCACACTCCAGCTTGCCATGCTCTAATTGTTCAGGTAGACAAGCCCTACATTTAAACCAACATGGTAGCCAGAGCAATTTAGAGCACTGGCAATAGGTGCATTTTGTAAGACTGGCAAGCAGTCAGGCACATTCTGTACTAGCTTAAGCTTCCTGAAGGTTTCAAGTATATTACTAAAAGAACAGGAGTACTTGTGGCACCTTATAGAGACTAACAAATTTATTAGAGCATAAGCTTTCGTGGGCTACAGCCCACTTCTTCGGATGCATAGAATGGAACATATATTGAGGAGATATATATACACATACAGAGAGCATGAAAAGGTGGGAGTTGTCTTACCAACTCTGAGAGGCCAATTAAGTAAGAGAAAAGAAAACTTTTGAAGTGATAATCAAGATAGCCCAGTACAGACAGTTTGATAAGAAGTGTGAGAATACTTACATGGGGAGATAGATTCAATGTTTGTAATGGCTCAGCCATTCCCAGTCTCTATTCAAGCTTAAGTTCAGGGCCGGCTCTGGCTTTTTTGCCGCCCTAGGCCCTCCCTAGGCAAAAAAGCCACCCGCCGCCCCCCCCAGCGCGGCAGAGAAGGGTGCCGAGCCCGGCCGCGGGCCCGCAATCCCCGACCGGCCAGAGCGCCAGGGGGAGGGCGGCGAGCCCGGCCGGGGCTCTCCGCTCTCCCCGACTGGCCGGAGTGCCGGGGGGGAGGGCGGCGAGCCCGCTGGGGCTCCGCTCTCCCCAGCGGCCGGAGCGCCGCGGGGAGGGCGGCGAGCCCAGTTGCGGCCCCACTCTCGGGCGGGAGCGCCCCACCGCGCCGCCCCCCTCCAGGCGCCGCCCCAAGCACATGCTTGGTGGGCTGGTGCCTGGAGCCGGCCCTGCTTAAGTTGATTGTATCTAGTTTGCATATCAATTGAAGTTCAGCAGTTTCTCATTGGAGTCTGTTTTTGAAGCTTTTCTGTTGCAAAATTGCCACCCTCAGGTCTGTTACTGAGTGACCAGACAGGTTAAAGTGTTCTCCTACTGGTTTTTGAATGTTATGATTCCTGATGTCAGATTTGTGTCCATATATTCTTTTGCGTAGAGACTGTCCGGTTTGGCCAATGTACATGGCAGAGGGGCATTGCTGGCACATGATGGCATATATCACATTGGTAGATGTGCAGGTGAACGAATCCTTGATGGCATGGCTGATGTGATTAGGTCCTATGATGATGTCACTTGAATAGATATGTGGACAGAGTTGGCATCGGGCTTTGTTGCAAGGATAGGTTCCTGGGTCAGTGTTTTTATTAATATTAATAAGTATATTACAGTGAACTAGTCAAGGTGACAGAGGCATGAAATGACTATAGCAAGCATACACATTCACCAGCAACTGTCTCAACTGCCTTGGCTAAGCATAAATGGAAAATGTGTCATTTCCTCCCCCTCCTGCTATGTCTGTCGTGGGTCATCTATAAGCCATGATGATCCATGAGACAAAGCCAGGAAAGAGGGTATTTTAGGGGCCACTCTATCAATCATGAACAATAGTGTATTATAAAATCCTACCAGACAATCAATGGTGCTCTGCTGGCTTTTAATAGTGCCTCACACTGAGCTGTCCTGAGTTGTAGATGAGGCCCAGGTACAGCTCAGGAAGTGGCTCTCACCTGGCACCCCTCAGTCTCTCATGCAATCAGTTTCCTAAATTGCAGGAGGAGAACATTGGTAGTCTCAGCCCTTACCATTTATAGCTGGGCTGTCACTAGATTTTTAACTCCTTGTTCCAGGTCTGCACAAATTGGGACCACAGATATTGCAACCCCCAGAGGTGAGGAAGCAATACCTTACACAGCTACAATGATTTGTCCTGGTGACCAGAGGTACCATTCTACTAAGAAACTTTACTTTCAGCCTCTTTGAAAGTGGGAAGGCTGAGGACAGTCTATTTGGAGGAGTGATAGCTAGGATTATTTTAACAGGTTAGTGACATGGCAGGAATTTTAGCCTTTTGCAAAGGCAAGAAAGAAATCCTTCAATCCCTTGATGACTAGTCCCCAAAACATTTCCAAATTGTGTTTGCCCCACTCAGGAGAACCTTTCTATATGGCTCTATGTTACACAGCTGCTGGAGAGAGAAAGATCTGAATAGTAGATGGGTAGCATTCAGGAGACATTGCACAAGAGATGGGTTCCTCTCCCAAAAGCCAAGTCCATCCAAACAACTCTGAATTCT